CCTCTTGGGGGTCTCTTGGGAGTCTCTTGGGGCTTCTTGGGGGCCTCTTCTGGGCCCCTTGGGGCCTCTTGGAGGCCTCTTCGGAGCCTCTTGGTGCGGGAGGGGTGGCACTCGAGTTCGGAACTCCCTCGGAGGCCACGATCCTTGTGAGGGGTGTCAAAAAACGCATCCGCCGGAAACTCGCAACGCCCCCCCCCCACTCCCCCTTCCCCGGCAGAGCCACCCCGGCAACCCCCCCAGAGGCTGAGGCTCAGCCTCGAAGCTGTAGCTGAGACTCCTTGAAACTCACACGCCAGATCGGCGGATTTATTCAGAAATCGCTCTCCCGGCGCTCTGCAGTCGCGCTCTCGCTGGAGACTTGCTTGCAACTTACTGAAGATTGGCCTTGCGTTGGAATTTCTTGCAATTTGCCCAAGCGCCGCGCTCCCGACACCCAGGCACCCTGGAGTCGCGCCCGTTGTGGCCCCATGTGCATGCCCTTTGTGGCCCCGCTGTCGCCATTTGTGTCCCCTTCACTGTCCTACGTGGCCCAGTTGCTACCCTCAGTGGCCCCATAGTTGCCTTCTGTGGCCCCGCATTATCTGCACTTCGTGGCCCCCGCTCGTTCGCGCTCTTCGTGGCCCCATACGCATTCCCTTCGTGTCCCCGCTGTCGTCCTTCGTGGCCTACTTCGTGCCCTTCGTGGCCCTGCTGTCGTTCTCTCTCGCTTCGCTTTCGCTCGTCGTTGCCGTCGTCGTCGTCGCCGTCGTCTTCGACGTCGTCGTCGTCGTCGTCGTCGTCGTCGTCGTCGTCGTCGTGGTCGGTCCCCTGTCCGTCCCTCTTGGGGTCGGGTCGACGGTCCGCGGCCGCCCCGCCGATCAGCGCTGCCGCTGGCCAGGCCGACGGTCCGCGGCCGCCCCGCCGCTTGCCGGGGCCCGGCCTGCAGGGAAGAAAGGTATACCCCCCAAAAGGGGTTCGATCGAAGACGAAGAGGGCGGGTATCGAGGGTTTAGCGTTATTGGACACTCGAGCATATGCGTTATTGGAATAATTACACGCCCCCCTCGCCGCGCCTAGGCCGCAGCCACATTTTCATCATTTTCGTGAGGAAGTCTCAGGCAAAACGGGGGAGTCCGGATCCGGTTGTTTTGTTGACGCCCGCTTTCCCTGTCAAAAAACAATATAAAATGACATGTCTTGTTCTAACATAACCAAACTTCAAGAATCCTTTGCAAAAAATGACACGAAGTGCACACTCGCGCGCGCAAGACGAAATCCTTCCAAAACCTTAGTTTTCGTAGCGATTTTAACATAAAAACATAAAAAACCAATGGTTTTTCAAAAAAATGTCAACATTTCATCCCGCGCGCTCTTGCGGATTCGTAGGAAACCCAACACTTTTTAATCATTTCTGTCAAACGGGCTTTTGCGAGCAACTTTTTCGAACTTCTGCAACAACGGTTGCGCACCTGCCAGGGCCATCATCCCTGTCAAATAATACCATGCGGGACACATTCGTTTTTTCTTCGCGCGCGCACGCCGTCGTCGTCGGCCGCGGGGCCCTGAATAGTAGCCACGGTCGTCCGCATGCCACGAAGTGAAGTGTCCGAACGTCATAGGGCGGGAAGCTGGGTGTGGGTGGTGGCGAAGAGTCGTTTGGAAATTTGGTAGAGCTTGAACCGGCCCCCCCACAAAGTGGGGGTATTGCCCGCCTCCTATGAAAACCCTGGCACTGGTGAGAACGGAGTGTCCCCACGTGCTAGTAATTGTTGTTGTTGTTGTTGTTGTTGTTGTTGTTGTTGTTGTTGTTGTTGTTGTTGTTGTTGTTGTTGTTGTTGAATTCTCATTTCTGAAGAATAATGATTGTTGATCCCCCCACCAGTGCACATGGTATTTTTCAATAGAACTGCCTTTCCCAGGGCTCGCACGCTGTTTCTTATCAGGGAAAGTCTTGAGGGTCAACTGTGTCGTTGGCCCCCGGGTTATAATAACAACGGCTCCCGCTTGAGATTTCCTTACAATTTAGCCCGGACCCTCGCTCCCGCCTGAGACTTCCTCGCATTTTATTCAGGACTCGCGGACTCGCTTGGGACTTCCTCACAATTTGTTCAGGAATCGCTGTCTCGACGCTCTGGAGTCGCGCTCTCGCTGGAGACTTGCTTGTAACTTACTCAGGAATAGCGCCCTTGCGTTTGAATTTCCCGCAATTAACTCAAGCGCCGCGCCCCCGACACTCAGGCACCCAGGAGTCGCGCTCACGCTTAGGACTCCCTCACAGATTATTTAGGAATCGGGATCTCGCTGCCCTTCGTGGCCCCGTAGCAGCCCTTCGTGGCCCCCTCGCTGCCTTTCGTGGGCCAGTTGCAGTCCTTCGTGGCCCCCTCGCTGCGTGGCTCCATTGCAGCCCTTCGTGGCCCCCTCGCTGCCCTTCGTGGCCCCGTTGCACCCCTTCGTGACCCCCTCGCTGCCCTTCGTGGCCCCGTTACAGCCCTTCGTGGACCCCTCGCTGCGATTCGTGGCCCCCTTGCAGCCCGTCGTGGCCCCCTCGCTGCCCTTCGTGGCCCCACATATGTATGCCCTTCGTGGCCCCCGCTGGTTCGCGCCCGTCGTGGCCCCATATGCATGCCCTTCGTGGCCCCGCTGTCGCCCTTTGTGGTCCCCTCGCTGCCCTTCGTGGCCCCGTTGTTGCCCTCAGTGGTCCCGTCCTTGCCTTCCGCGGCCCAATATACGTATGCCCTTCGTGGCCCCAGCTCGTTCGCGCCCGTCGTGGCCCCATGTGCATGCCTTTCGTGGCCCCGCTGTCGAGCTTCGTGGCCCACTCGCTGTCCTACGTGGCCCAGTTGCTACCCTCAGTGGCCCCGTCGTTGCCATCTGCGGCCCCGCATTATCCGCCCTTCGTGTCCCCCGCTCGTTCGTGCTATTCTTGGCCCCGTACGCATTCCCTTTGTGTACCCGCTGTCGCCCTTCGTGGCCTACTTCGTGCCCTTCGTGGCCCTGCTGTCGTTCTCTCTCTTGCTTTCGGTTTCGCTCGTCGTCGTCGTCGTCGTCGTCGTCGTCGTCGTCGTCGTCGTCGTGGTCGGTCCCCCGTCCGTCCCTCTTGGGGTCAGGTTTCCGCCGATCAGCGCTGCCGCTGGCCAGGCCGACGGTCCGCGGCCGCCCCGCCGCTTGCCAGGGCCCGGCCTGCAGGGAAGAAAAGCATACCCCCCAAAAGGGGTACGATCGAAGACGAGGGCGGGTATTGAGGGTTTGGGAAATACGCGTTCACGGACACTTGGGCAGATAAGAAAGAGCAGTCTTAAACTGATTGTTGTTGTAGTTGTAGTTGTTGTTGGTTGTTGTTGTTGTTTTTGTTGTTGTTGTTGTTGTTGTTGTGTTGCTGCTGTTGTTGTTGTTGTTGTTGTAGTTGTTGTTGTTGTTGTTGTTGTTGTTGTTGAACATTATTACTTCTAAAGAATAATTATTGTTGGGACCCCTGGTGCACGACCCCCCCGCCGCGCCTAGGCCGCAGCCTCATTTTCATCATTTTCGTGAGGAAGTCTCAGGCAAAACGGGTTGGTCCGGATCCGGTTGTGTTGTTACGATCGGTTTTCCCTTGCAACAAATAAGCTAAAGTGGACATTTGTTGTTCTAACATAACCAAACTTCAAGAATCCCTTGCAAAAAATAAGGTAAAGTGGACATTCGCGCGCGCAAGACGAAATCCTTCCAAAACCGTAGTTTTCGTAACGATTTTAACATAAAAACATCAAAAAACCAATGGTTTTTCAAAACAAAATTGTCAAAATTTCATCCCGCGCGCTCTTGCGGATTCGTAGGAAACCCAACACTTTTTAATCATTTCTGTCAAACGGGCTTTTGCGAGCAACTTTTTCGAACTTCTGCAACAACGGTTGCGCACCTGCCAGGGCCATCATCCCTGTCAAATAATACCATGCGGGACACATTCGTTTTTTCTTCGCGCGCGCACGCCGTCGTCGTCGGCCGCGGGGCCCTGAATAGTAGCCACGGTCGTCCGCATGCCACGAAGTGAAGTGTCCGAACGTCATAGGGCGGGAAGCTGGGTGTGGGTGGTGGCGAAGAGTCGTTTGGAAATTTGGTAGAGCTTGAACCGGCCCCCCCACAAAGTGGGGGTATTGCCCGCCTCCTATGAAAACCCTGGCACTGGTGAGAACGGTGTGTCCCCACGTGCTAGTAATTGTTGTTGTTGTTGTTGTTGTTGTTGTTGTTGTTGTTGTTGTTGTTGTTGTTGTTGTTGTTGAATTCTCATTTCTGAAGAATAATTATTGTTGATCCCCCCACCGGTGCATACTGTTTTTTCTCAATCAAAGTGTGCCCCTCGACGCTCGCACTTTGTTTTTTGACAGGGAGAGTCTTGATGCTCAATCTGGGCCCCTGGCCCCCGGGTTACAACAACAACGGTTCCCGCTTGAGACTTCCTGACAATTCTAGACGCTTCGCGTATCCCCACCAGCCCGTCCAGAAATGAGTCCCAGGGGAGTGGAGGTTATGAGGGAAGCGGGGGAGCATGCAGAAGAACAAAGGGCGGGGTGAGCCGCCATATACCTTAGAGACACGCTGGGGCTGCTCTGTGTGGACCATCCCCGGAGGCTCAGGTCGAAATCAAAAGTTGCGGCTCTGAGCGAAAATCGAAAGTCGAAAATGAAAACCGAAACCGAATCATAAGTTGTTGTTTCTTGCTTTACTACGGTTGCGTTGAACTGTATCGTGATGGAGCATGTTGTATATACAGAATGCGTTGCATTGGTATTGTATTTGCATTGCATTGTGTTGTCCTGTGTTGAAGTAGCACGCCAATATGGTTGCATTGCGTTGCATTTATGCGCGCCAAGACCTGCGCCAGGTTCCATTGCGTTGCATTGGCTAAGTTGCGCCCCCCTGCCATTGCACTGCAGAGCAAGAAGTTGGCTTTTACCAGCTTTTGCGTTGCATTGCGTTGCCTGCACTGTGCTTCCTTTCCCCCGTTATGCCCCCCTCTCGTCCTGCTAGCCGTTTGGCTTCTAGCATCCTTGCCAATGCACGTGTTACTGTAGTTTTTTGAAAAAGTGCATGGATGATGACATCATCGCCCTTGCGATGGCCGTCCCCGTGGGGGACGCACGAGAGCAGAGAACGGCCAAGGAGAAACGCCTCGACGCGCTGCAGCGAGGCCGACAAACACGCATTCAGAATCTCCGAGCCAGACAGAAGACGCTATCAGAGGAGGACACGCAGCAGCTTGCGATCACGTCCTTGACTCAGCCTGCATGCGTTGTCCCTGCAGCTGCTCGACGGATTGCGTCTCGACCCGAGACAAAGCTCAAGGCGATGATGCAGCTGGCGTGTTCGCCCAAAATTCGTGGGGGAAGCGCTGCCATCGAGAGGGTGCGCCGTCTGCAAGATCAGTCCGTTGCCATCGTGGGCAAGCTGTGTCTAGACAGGCAGTTGCGCGGATGGCAGATGTGGCTTTCCAGGGCACCGCCAGTGGTTGCAGGCGCCCGCCTCTTCGTCATGCGCGGGGTTTCAGCCATGTGGGACGAGGCCTCGCAGTCGTCGCGGGCACTCCTGTTGCGGCGGAACTTGTGCCACGACCTCGGCCAGAGCCAGAAGACTGTCAATGTGATGGTCGTCCTTAGCGCAGCTTTCCAAGCGTTTGTTCAGCGGGGTCGCCTTGAGTCGATCTCGGACGTCCAGCACCTTTTGCAGATCGAGTGGCAGCCCTGGATATGTGCACCCCTATTCTTGGAAAACACGACCGCCAAGCTGCTGTTCGAAGGATTGAGAAAAACTATGCCCATCGAGTTTGCCAACGCCAGGTCGCTAGAGTTGTTGATGGTTAACACGGACGCATTCATCATTTGTCTCTCATTGGATTCGGCATCATCGAATTCAAGACGCTTTGCGTATCCCCATCAGACCATCCAGAAACGATGCCTTGGGAAGCTGGCGGAAGGAGGGAAGACGCGACGCACATAGTGACACAGAGCGGGCAACACAGGTGAGTTGGGAGATCTTGCGTGGCGACGGTTGCACATGTTGTTGGTGGTGCTCTTGCCCCTGCTGGTGCTGCTGATGTTGCTGCTGCTAGTGGTGCTGATGTTGCTGCTGGCATTGCTGGTTCTCGAGGGGTGGGGGGCGGGGGAAGAGGGGGAGGGAGTAGGGGGAGGGGGATGAGGAGGGGGAGGAGGAGGAGTTGGCGGATACGGAGGAGGAGGATGAGGACGATGGGAGGACGAGGACAAGGCGAATGATGAGGAACCACGACGAACGTAAGAGCCTCTTATGATGCCTCTTCGGAGTTGTTTCGGAAATATCTTGGAGCGTCTGGGGGTGGGGGGGATCTTGGGTGGCTCGGTGATCCTCTTGAAGCCTCTTAGGGTCTCTTGGAGGTCTCTCGAATGCCTCTTGGAGCCTCTTGGAATATCTCTTGGGCGTTTCTTGGAGACCTCCTGGAACGTCTCGGTGGTCTCTTGGCCGTCCTGCGGGACTCGCGGGCGTCCTGGGTGCCTCGGGGAGGCCCCTTGAGGCCGCTTGGGTTGGGGGCCTCTTGAAGGCTTCTTGGGGCCATCATGGGACCATCGCGGGGCCCTCCTGGGGCGCTCTTGGGAGCTTCGGGGGCGCTATTGGGGCAATCTTGGAGGAGATCTGCCAAAACAGATGGGAGCGCTAATGCTCGCCCCCCCCTCGGGAGCCCTGAAAATACAACCTGGGCCCTCCCTCGGGGCGCTCTTGGGGCGTTCTTGGGCGCATTTGAGGCCGCTCTGGGGCTCTACTGGGCCCCTCTTGGGGCCCTTCTGGGCCCTCTTGGAGCAATCGTCGGGCCTCGGATGTCCATCGGAAGCGAAAAGACGAGAAGGCAAACACCATTTGTGCCCTTCAGGTGTTTGAACGATGTTTGCTTCTTGGAGGCCTCCTTGGGAAGCGATTTGGCCTCGTGGAACTGCATGGGGGGGGGGGATCTTGGTGCCTCTTGGAGCATCTTCGGGGCTATATTGAGGTATCGTAGGCTATGTTGAGCAATCTTGGATGTCATATTGGGCTCCGAGGCGTTCTTGGAGCCGTCTTGGGCGAAACAAATGCCGTCCAACACCTCGCGACACCCGCCGACCAGGTCCAGGGGGGAGGGGGTAGAGGGGGGGGTAACCCCGCGCCGAAAGGGGAGAACGGGGGTTGAAAAAAAGGACACCTACTAAACCGCCTGCGCCCAGAGGGCTGTGGGATCTAGCAACTTGCAAAATGATTATGAGATATGTCGAACGGGCCAATCTCTGCGGTTTGATGTTGCACTTCCAGCGCTGTTTGTCGCACCAGATAAATACCAGCAGGTCTTCGATACTTTCATTGGCGGGCGTAGCTGGTATGCTATATTGTCTGAGTAAGATGATTGGAATTGGCAAGAATGTGAATGCCCTCGCAGCCGCAATCCACGACCACGTCAAATCAAACATTGCGATCCGTTATGGCGAGCCCGAGGGGCACCACCACGTATTGCAGGCAGTGCTGGACGTGTTCGCTATCGACGGGGATCGCGGCTTGATCTGGCAAGGCGGCTGCCTTGCCCGCTCCAGCAGGGCAACTGCATTTCGCAGAGACCTAGAAGAGTTGTGCAAGAGGTCGTTGTTCGACAGATCCGCGGGGGCATGGGTGTACTATGTTTCAGTGGCGCCCAGCTCGTCACACAGGCATCGGGTCGACCTGGACGAGGCAGCGAAGTACATTTCGGCGCCGCTGATTAAGTGCTTGGTTGGTCGTAGGTGGGAGGACAGGTGTTATGCGGTGTCTGAAGCGGGTTGTGTTGGGGGCAATGTTTAACAACGTGCTGCCATCAACTCTATCAGCGCTGTCTTCCAACATGGGCATCACTGACGCGAAGCTGGAGAAAGAAAAGAATGATAGCATGGCCAGGATTGCCAGAGGCGAAGATGCGAACACCTTCGCCCTCACCAGCATGACCAGGGTTATGAAAGTTTCCAAGTATTTCAGGGACGCAACGAGCAGATGGCAGATTGGCGCACTACTGATTGGATGCGCTCAGATCGAGAAGCTCCATTGGCAAGTGCTTGGCAGCACCGCAGAGAACAGGCGCAAGGCGAACCTGACCGACCTGGTCGACCCGCAGGTGAGCATCACCGGTCAGTCCCAAGCCCAGCTGCTACGATTGCTGCAGGAGTGGAACTTGTCAGACGCGAGTCCATGGCGGCTGCTCGCGTTCCTTGGTTTGCAGGATCTTCGTGCCGCAGATGTCCGAGCTTACTCGAGGAGCCTGGTGCTATCGGTCAGTTGCAGTCTGTTCCAGCGTCTAGAGGCCCTCGTGGGAGCGACCACCGCGTTGACGCCGAATGCCTGGTTGTTGCCGCTCTGGCGAAGGACTGGTTCGTGAGCTCACCTGGCGCGGCCGCGCCAGGTGGGCCAACGAACCAGTCGCGCGCCACCGCTGCAACGGCCGCGCATGCGGCGTCGGCGCCTGGCGCACCCCGCCCAGGTTCGGCATGCTACCTGGCCCTACAAGCTGCAGTGGCTCATATCTCCGAACGTTTCTGATGGAGACAGGGCGGGCGCTATCCAGGAGTTCCTCGATGCGAATGACTGCTGCATCGGGCCTTTTGGGCGCACGTTCAGGCGTCGCTTCCCCTCGCGCAGCGCGCTGCTCAGCCGCGAGGCTGCGGCGGCGATATTGTTCTGGCAGAGGGGGCTGTTGTTCACGACGGCCCCCGCCGAGTGCGAGCACAAGGCGATGAAGGGGGAGATGGCGACCAGCACCACGGGGTTGGCGCATGGCCCAGTTGTTTGGCGGGCAGTGTGTCGGCACTTGGGGAAGGCCCACGAGATCAGGGGCGGGTCGTCGTGCTCGTTGCCGCTCCGACGCTCTGTTCCAGAGGCGCAGGCCGTGCTCGGCCAAGAGAGGGGCATGCCCATCTGCGACTGCGCGGGTCCGCGCGCCGATCCCCTTCAGCTGGATGACCGCCCTGCAGATGCGGCGGGGGACGGCGATTCGGCCGACGATGGCGACCAGCGCGACGGCGTCGACTTGGAGGAGCTAGTCAAGGGCGGCAACCCGAAGATGGCCTACTCGAACCGCCAAGTCCGCTTGAGGAGGGGGTTCCTCAATCGACCAATGACGAGAGACGAGGTCACGGCTGAGCATTTAAGAAACGGCAAGGAGTACGACGATGACCCGTCCATAGGTGCGCGGTGGACTGCGCTCTTCGCCGCGCGGCAGCGGCAACGCAAGCGACTGTCCCAGGCGCCATCGGGGCTCCCATCATCGGCGACGCCAGAGGAGATGCCCAGGCAGCCAGTGTGGCCAGAAAGCTTACATGATGGCGACGCCGTCGAGGACGCCCCTATCGCCTCCACAGTGCTCGCGAATTACCATAGCTCACTCAGCGTGGATGGCATCGAGAAGCTAGCAACCGACGCGAAGCC